TCGCCGACTCCAGAAAGATGGAAAGTTTGGTGGGCACCAACTGTGAGATCGAACCATCGACTGTATGTGCGTCACGCAAGGTCCTTCCGACCACTAAGCCACACGCGCTCACTGCTACCACGTAGCAGAAATATCCAACTGTTCTACTCACTGGCTTCAAAATCCTGTTCTAAATAGAAGAGATGTGCAACACTCACCTGTGAGGTTGATAAGACGTTGCACAAAGGTGAATAGAATCAATTTTCCAACGGAATATTGAACTGATGACAAGCAACCAACCACACATTGTCCAATCTCTAATAAATTAGAATTGTAAGCGTAACTCTCCTATTTCCAAATACAACACTTCACCACATTTCGCATTAGAGGTTGACAATATAGAGGAATATTTACGGATTTTCCTCAAAGAGAGATCGGCCTGGTTGTAAAGATACGTGGCGCGTCCCCATTTGGTGAATAGGGAAACCGCCATCCTGTTATTCAAATCTCCCTTGAACAATGGCGAGAACGTCAACAAACTCTGCACTATCCCAACAAGTACTCAAAAGCGATTCAAGTGGAATAAATCCTTAAACCGGCGTTCAAGGTATTTTCACAGATCTCCTAGATAGGAGAGATTTCTGGCCGGTTAGTCGCGAGGATACGTGACGTGTCCCCAAGTGATGGACAGGGAAATTGAATGCAAACCAAACATAACCTTGCGACTCCCTATCGAGATACAGGTGGGTTCGGAGGACTACCCAATTACAGCAGTGCTAATTTGACAACCTTTAGTTCTACGCGTCAAACTGATCAAAGACTTGCATTCAAGAGCCCATGAAGTACAAGGGAAGCGACTAGTGGTTGCTTTCAAATGTAAGCTCTTCGCAGTTCGTCCAGAAAAGACCTGCAAGCTACCCGTGAATATCCACCCCACGGCAGAGCTCAGAAACCTATACGCTGGATATCAAGTCGTTCCATAGGCTTTGGCAGCGAAGCAATAAATGCCGAATTTATTACCCACGAGTAATTGAAACTGCATAATTTTGGTATCATTCAACTGCGCATTTTTTTGCGAACATTTCCGTAAACAACCTTCCCATACTTGCTTTAAGATGGAGCTGTCGTGGGAACAAACTCGCTTACAACTCATACACGAATAGCGCGTAGGAGAAAATGCTAGTGAAGCACCGTGCAAGATTGATGGAGCTTCCTGCGGACGACCCGAGCAAGACTGATCCTGCACTGTTCTCCCCAGCTTTTAACTCGGCGAACCACGTCCTAACCGTCCTCTCTGCAACCGTATCATGGTCCCAAGGTCCATTAATTTTGCGCGACTCTTCATTAGCAGTTTCTCCTAAGCGACATTCGTGTATGAGTAGCAAAAGAATTCGTTCCCAGACAGATCCATCTTCAAGTATAGGCAAGATGTATACTAAAGATGTTCGCAAGAAAATGCGCAATTTGACGATACCAAAATTATGCAATTTCAATTTCCTTTAGTTGATAAATCCGGTGTTTATTGCTCTTGTGCCAAAACTTATGGAACGATCCAATAAAGAGCTAAACATACTAATGTAAACGGCTTCATAACCCCAGCTTGTTTTAGCCATCACAAACTCCTCTGAAGCGTCTAATAATTCTGTTTCAGGATCACAACTCAGATATTTTCTCGATGGATTCTTCCTAGATCTTGTACTGCTTCAAGAAACAATTCAAAAAGTTGCAGTAGCACCAAGCCAACCTGATGAATGGTGTCCCATTCTCCTTGTTCTTCGTAGGAGTAGTAGAGATCTTCGTCGAGAAGAAGCTGATCATCGCCAGACCAAAAGATATCGTCTGGATCGGCCATCCTAGCAAACAAACGAACAAATACGCTCAGTGCTTCAGCACATCGTTCACAAAACAAATCGAACGTCAGTATGGAAACGTCAAAGTCACGAGGAGGTACGGAGGTAAGTCGAGTTCTTAAAATTTGAGTTTTATTCGTAAAAGGTTGTAAATAATTCAGTGTTCGATGTAGCTTTGACCTTCAAAGAATTGGGAGAGAGAGAGAGAGAGAGAGAGAGAGAGAGAGAGAAGAGAAATAGCGAAAGAGAGGGAGAGAGAGCGCGAGTAAGGGGAGGGGAGAGAGAAAAGGAGAAGATAGAAAATGAGTTGCGACAAGAACAACAAGCAGAAAAGCTCTCTAAAGGGTCATTCTGAAGATAACAAATCTCTACTATCATGGAGTGGCATTTTACAACAATACATCCAAGACTGCTCAGTGAGATGCAAAACTGCAAAACTCTCAACCTCGGGCGGTAGCTGAACCCGCGTCTCGCGCTCTCCAGAAGGACTTGCTAACCACTTCACTATAGCGGCTCCTGTTCTGCTCTCATTCGTCTGCGATACAACGTATTGATCTCGTTTCATATCAACCCTTAGCGGAGGGCGCCATTTCCGAAAGAAATTTATACCTTTTTTCGTCAAAAGAAAATCTTCAAGAACAGCTGGAAAAACATCCGTTCTCGCAAGGATGTGATTTTCCTCCTTCAAAAGGCAAGATTTAGGGAAATACTAGCATTAATTCTGCTAAAAATCATTGATACAGAAGTCTCATCAGTAAAATCTTGCCGTTTATTGATGACAATTTTTTTCTTGAGAATTTAATCGACCTGAAATTCTATGGAAACATTTCATGCACAATCTTCGTAAACGTCCGAAGGGCGCGCCCAGCTGAGGGTCATAATGACCCTGACCGACTGCAAAACATTAAGTCGGTACCAAGGATGAACATAGGTATACTATGCAATGTAAGTGAGGACCGATGTAGAGTGATGTGCAAAACTTATCGTCATCAAGAGGAATTTTGTCACCAGTAGATGGTAAAATATGATAGAAGTGACATCGATAAAGCTGACTCTTGCAGAAACAAAGGCGATGTTTTCCGCTAAGATCCTCGAATCTCGAGGGAAAAGGCAGATACTCACTAAGAGGAAATTCTGCCTGCAAAAAGTTAGTATTTTTCCTTAGCAGAAAGTAAAATGAAAGCCATTTCGCAAAGCAAACTTAGTGGGAGAATAGGCATATCGCCTTTATTTTGAGTGATTTATTGAGACCACGCTCAAATTTCAATAAATCCTTTCATTATTATTTGAGCCAACTTGTCATGTGGTCTGGTAAAGGCTCTTGTACGGCCCGAGACACGTGTTTCGTCCTTACAGACTCATCAGCCGGGCAGAACCCGTCGTCTGTCGATCTTTTCATAGTCAGTTCTCTCAGGAGCGTCACACTCCTTATATATAGTTATCGACGACCTACGCTTTACACTCTATGTCAGGTGAAACATTCACTTAACACAAGTGTTTTCGCACTCGATTGCTAGCTGGCTGGTATTTTTTTATCATATTATACCTTTCCTTCGAGTGCTTTATTAAGATCACGCTCAAATTTCAATAGATCCTTTCATTATCTTATTTGATCTTCCATTAAAAATTTGAGCATGTTCTCAACAAAACCTCGAAATAAAGGTATAATATCATGAAAATACCAGCCAAAGAGCAATCGAGTGCGCAAACGCTCTGTGTTAAGTGGAAATTTCACTTGACATAGAGTGTAAAGCGTTCGTCGTCGATGACTCTCTGTAGGGAGAGTAGGGCTTCCGAGAGAACTGACTATAAAAAAATCGAAAGACGACGGGTTCTGCCCGGCTGACGAGTCTGTAAGGACGAAACACGTGTATCGAGCTGTACAAAAGCCCTTACCAGACCACATGACAAGTTGGCTCAAATAACAATGAATAGGCATTTCTCAAGCAATCGAATGACTACAAAAACATGAATGAAAAAGGAAGAAACGAAGTTATATGGTAGCTGTAAAAAAAATCCCCTTCACAACGACGCGCCCTTTCTCATTGAGACAAAGATGATCTATTGATACATGGGCATTCTCTTAACTATAAAACTTTTATAGAAGTCTCTTTGTTACATTTGATCATTTCACCACGATAATATCCTCTCGATAATATATAATATAATAAAGAGCGTATGCGGCGCAGTGATTAGAGGTGCACCGCGTCGCACACGAGGTCAATGGCTCGACCTCGCGCTCATGGCTCACAAAGCCATCCGGCCCTTCGGGGTCGGTAAATTGGTACCAGACTGGTCTCAGACTTGTCTGCGAGGATAAGCAGCACTGACTCGGTTCAGCGGGAGGCCACCACGAGTCATTGTAAAGGCCACATATGCACTCAATCACTTTAAACGAAGTTAGATATTGAAGACGAATGCATGGCGCATACCTCAGGGATTGATCAACGCCGAGAGCTTTATCCTTTATCTCTTTAATATCCTCTCAGTACCTCAGATTACCAAACAAATTCCTAAGAGAATTCAGTGGTGAGCAAAAACACGACCTCAAGCGGGAATCGAACCCACGTTTCATCCTACGTCCTATCTTATCCTAGGATGAAACATGGGTGCGATTCCCGCTTGAGGTCGTGTTTTTGCTCACCACTCAATTCTCTTAGGAATATAGAAAACATCATAACAGTGCGAAATGCATTAAAAAATACTATCAATTCCAAACAAATCCCGATTTGCAGTGCAACGCGCGATTATAAAGACTCCTCGCCAAGCCGCGCGCCGCCGCCACCAGACGCGGCGTGAGCTAATAACAGCTCACATCGCTGTCAACGTTCTGAAACAGGCGTCGCTAGAATGTGAGTTCGATCCCAATTGACGCTTAAAGTTTTGCATATCACTCTACATCACTGGGCACACTTATAAAATCATACTACCGCTAAAAGCGGCCGATTAAAAAGGAATTCTGCTTGATTATCTGAAAATTATCTTCAGTAATGAACATGACATGGATAGGGTTGGCTTTCCAGCAACTGGAAGATCCAAAAGCAGATGTAGAGGAGGAAGTGAGACATGTTCGACCGCTTCGACTGCTTTTGAGATCTCGCTCAGAACAATATAATCGTGTTTCAGCATCACAACCTCACCACAACAGATGCTAGAAGTGATAAGCGAACAGGATCCCATTAGCGCAACGGTAGTGTGCGCCCTTCGAAAGGCCGTAACGCGGGTTCGACTCCCGCTTGGCACCGAATTTTTGCATAACGTTCAGCATTCATGGAAACTACTCTTTAAACTCCGCGACTTTCCAAGGATGAGCCACTTACACTGTCAATCAACTCTACGTGCGATGTTCATCTCAAGCGGAAGCAGAGGAAAAGTATAATTCGGAGAGATTTTTTCCTGCAGTATATAAAAGTGAACAGTAAATATAGAGGGAAGGGATAGCGCATTGGTTAGTGATGCAGTCGATAGAGAAGCGCGATGAGTGATGCTTGTTTTCGGTCCCCTCCACAACACTTTTTTGCAATCCATCAACGAACCCTTGGGGAACGTCTTAGCTCGGCTTCTTCCAGGATTGCAAGGGAATCTTCGAGTAGAAGCCGAAAAAACACGTGAATCGATGCTGTCAGATGATTTTGCACAGTATCGAAGAAAGAGTGATAGCAAAGGGCGCGGACTCGACAGTGCAGTTGGTCAGCACGCGCGCCGGAAAGGGTTGAATGCGGGTTCGATTCCAGCCTGAGAACGTCCAACATTATTGATTTTCGTGCTCTTCATGAATAATGTAGGGCGCTGATCGGGCAATCCTTGCAATATCGAAAAGGATACCAAGCTGAGGCGTTTATGTACTGATTGAAGAAAGTGTCGGGGGAGTGGATCGAACCAGGACCATGCATCCTGGTAGCCTGCTACACTAAGCACTCGGCCATAGCTGGATCAAAACAACAAAAATACTATCAAAAAAGACCTGCAAAAGACCAAGAATTTTATGGCGGCTATTCATCTAAATGCGTGGACCTGTGCTACAATTTACGGAGAACTACGGACCGACCAATACGAGAAATTGCGGACCATTTTGAATGCAGAATGCTGGTAATAATTTTTCGGGACCGTGAACCCACCTACTCTGCATGTCTGGCTCTCAACATGACCATGCTGGGCCGTCTGCTCCACTCCCTCTGCATCTCTAACCACCAGTTCAACAGTGATCTCACTTGCGGTTGAATCTTTGTTGGAATTCTTCTCTTCGAACTTCTCTTAGAGCTTTGCAATTCGATTTCTCTCCCGAAGATGCTGAGTGCTGTGCAAACCGCTCAATCCCAGGCGGGAGTTGAACTCGCGTCTGACCCATACCGTTGGCTCGTACTTCCCCTACACCATTAACGTCACCGCTTCGCTACATTTTTTTTTCGTTACAAACTATCGCAGCTGTCGGCGACCAGCTTTGAGGAATTTGGTTTGATAAGCACATCGCGGCGCTGAACCGGTTAACCCTTTCGGGATCGTGGACCCACCTCCTCTGCATCTCTGGCCCTCAACGTGGCGACGCTTGGTCGTCTGCTCCACTCCCTCTGCATCTCTAACCACCAGTTCAACGTGGACTGTTGGTCTGGTATCTCTGTTGATGTTGTCCTCTTTGAATTTCTCTTATAGCTTTGTAAATTGGTTTTATTCCGAGGATACAGTACGCTCGACTCAGGTGGGATTTGAACTCGCACCTAACCCTTATCGGAGGCGCGTGCCACCACTACACCACCGAGGCTACGGCTTTGCTACCACACTTTCTGCGATATAAACTATGGCAGCTGTCAGCGACCATCCTTTAACGAATTCGATTTGACAGGCACATATCGGCATGGAACCCAGTTAACCCTTACGGGACCATGGGCTCAATCTTCTGCGTCTCTAACACCAGCGTGATGCATCTGACGATAGAGCCTCCTGGCCCAAAAGTGGCGCGTTAGGGGTTAGATAGAGATTCCCCCTTTTCAGATACGAAAGGCTCAGTCGGAACGACTGTCAGCTTCCTCTCCATATTGAAGAAGTTTCATTTTGATCTTCCTCGTATCAGGTTATACAATTTATGAGCACTATGTGGTGCATTGGTTAGAACGAGCCCTCGAAAAGACCCACGCCGGGTTCGAGCCCTCACATTCTCGAAAGTATTCATTGATCTCAAATTCTCGAAGCAGCTTTTCTCTAGAATCGCCAAGTTTTGTAAGGATTGTGAATTCTTTGAGGATGCAAGCGCCTCCGACTTCAGAGGAGGCAGCTGTCTTCGAGGACAGCAACTTGTCAGTGGAGTCAGTCGAGTCGAGTTCAATCCCTTCGTCGGTTCAAGCATCGTCGGCTACTCAAGAACAAGCAGACACCAATGAGGGTATGGTTTTTTGAGCTCTAGTTAATTTTTATTATTCAATTATCTATTGTTTTTAAGCTCAACGGTGCTTAGTTGTATGCAAAATTTTGACATCAGTCGGACTCGAACCCGCATCTCAGCTTTTCCAGGGGGCGCGTTGCTTAATTCATTGCACTACCGACGCCTGCTTTGCCACTACTCTTATTATTTTCTACTATATCCCAACATATTTGTATTTTTATTTCTTTATGAGTTGTTCTTTTCTCCAAATAGAACTCACACGAGGTTGGTATTTCTCCCTTTAAATTCGATGGCAACGTTCCGGCGATTTCGACTTCGTCAGAGAATCGGCGTGCTATTTGTCGTACCATATCTAATTAATCCTTTAATACTCTGTTTGATTCGAGAAAATCCTGAGAGATTGTAGATTGTAAAAGATTTCACCTACACGTACGAAACACCCAATAATGTGGAGTGCTGTGCAAAAGCATTTGCGTCAGCCGGGATTCGAACCCAGATCTCACTCCTTCCGGGAGCGTATGCTAACCGTTGCACCACGGATGCTCCTGTCCGATCCCGGCTGAAGCAGCGTCGGTGGTGCAACGGTTAGCATATGCTCACGGTAGGAGTGAGATCTGGGTTCGCATCCCGGCTGACGCAAATGTTTTTGCACAGCACTCCACATTATTGGGTATATCATAACATCATACCACTGCAAGTGGCAGTAAGAATTCTGACTGATTATACATATACGGAATATTGAGTAGTTTCATAAGATTGGCACTATATTAGTAAAACCAAATTTGGTGATCATAAATGATCAACATTGAATTGTTTTGGTGCCGTTCAATTGCGCGTTTTCTCGGGAACAGTTTGGTATACGACTTGGCCATAGTTGTTCTGATATGGATCTGTCGTGGGAACGAATTCGCTTGCTACTCATGCATTAATGACGCGTAAGGGAAGAGCACTAATGAAGCACAACGCAAGGTTGTGGAGCTTGGGGCGATGATATGGTTCCCAAAGGACGGAGGAAGTGGTTTGCGAAGTTCGGAGCTGAGGAGAGCAGCCTAGAGGCTCGGTCTTGCTTGGCCCATCCACAGAAACCTCCACTATCCCCGAAGGGACGACGTTTGCCCAGGTGAAGTACACGATTCTATAAAGATTCTTCTGCTGAACAAAAACCTTCCCTAAAAGTTTGGTCGTCGTTCGAATGCCCAGATCTCTGCAATTTCAATAATATGTGTAGTTTTCGAAATAGCCTCTTTATTATGTTCTAGCAGCGAAAGTGAAGTCATGTTTTACACCCAGTTCGCTTTATTTGCTCGACTGGGGCTTCTATATGACTGTTCAATCAAATTTCACTAGTCACTCGATAGCCTAAATCTCGAGGATTTCGATGATGTGATTGCCTTTTTGAAAGGTCATCATAGAAGGGTGTGGGAGCAAAAAGAAGATTGTGTTTCGCACTCAAAGTTTTTATCGAACAGAAAGCTTTATATGCACCAAAAACTATATGGCCATATAGAGAAAATCATGGAGTTCAGAGTAGCAGGAAAAAGACCTAAGGTCCTTCTTTCCAAATGAAGGAAAATTCCTATTTAAATAACAAAAATCACTCGCCTCTTGCGAGTTGCGCTGTGCAATCAATCAGCCGCTGTCCCTAAAGGGTTAACTTGCGCGCCGCTTCGTTAGCAATTTCCCTTATTTAGTGCCATTCGTGCATGAGTAGCAAGTGAGTTTGTTTCCACGACAGCTCCATCTCAAAACAAGTATGTGATATGACGCATAATGTGGAGGGGGAACTGTGGCCAAGTGGCTAGTAGTGCTCGACGTGGTTAGATGCGGAGCTCATCCCACCGCCTCCAGACACTCTCCAGCAGTCAATAAAGCCCTTCGAAACGCGCCAGTCTGGCTTATCCTCGACATTTCAAGGAGACTTGCTTGGCCAGTATTTTCTATCGACTATCGTGAAGAATATCGATTCCTCAAGCGAGCGTAGAGGCGAGTAGAACACTAGAACTACTGAGACCCGCGCAGTAGAAAAAGAAACCGTTTATGCTGGTTAAATAAAGTGATAGAGTGGTGACATATAGTACGTCCAGTCTGTGACGTCACCGAAATTGCCGGGACGTTAGCCGTCATTTCTAAGGGAGAAATACTAACGACATGTATGTTTCATCCTGAAAATGAAGTTTTTTGAAACCAAGATTACTTTTGTTTTTCGTTTTTACTGCTTTTCCGCGGTGTTACTTTGATACAAGTAAACCTAAAATAATCGAGTAATGAACAAAAAGCAGAAAAAAACCAAGCCCATTAATTACTGATGACTGATAAATATGATAGAGAGGTGTTGAGGAATGAGTGGTGGGGTGTGTAAGCGGTGGTCCTGGTGATGTAGATGTAAAACACGTCCCCGGTATGGGGAAACGCGGGTTCAACTCCCGTCTGAGGTCGGATTTTCGTTCACCGCTCATTCTCTTAGTTCATGAAATTTTTCCTTCTCAAGCCGAGGTCAAGACAATATCAGCCTTTTGAATCACTCCTTTGTTGTTTTAGGAAATCATTCTCAATCGTCAAATGTCCCACCGTCAACACCGAAATCAGCGCCCAGAGTAATTTCCGCTGACGTCACACATCGCCAGGTCAGTTCTGCTTCTGACCATCGTCATGGCTCCGTTCTACCTTTTCTTCTCTCTTATTTCAGTCTATTTATAACTTCTTTTTCTTTCGAACGGCCTTCTACAGCCTTATTGTCTTTTGATATTCATCCATCTTTGAGGTGGAAGTGAAGGATCTGATTGAGTACGAATGGCCGCACAAATCAGGCGACAAATATTTCCTCCAAGTAGGTTTTTTTCCTGCTAATATTTCAATGAGTATTGAACGTTTTTTTCACTTTTCCTTAATTCATTTCGGTTTTCACTTCTTTTTGATCCTTAAACGCATGTGGGTGATGTGGCCGAGCAGTTGTAATGCTCGTCTCGACGCGCGTGAAGCCAACCCCTCCCTCCCCCCATCCCTCTCCAACGGTCAACAACCCTATGGAACTACGAAGGCCCTATGAAACGCCATAGCCAGGCTATCGTAAGGAGACTCGCTCAGCCAGTGTTCTTTAGCGATCAAGAAGAAGAAAAAACGATTGGAAATTTGAAGTACTGTGATCCACACAGTGAAACAAACGCATTTGGAGCAGTGGTTAGAGGTCTTGTGGAACAGACGCGGTCAAGCAACCAGTAGTCGATGGTTCAATCCCGAGTTAAAGCCTCATGAAACATTACATCCATCTAGGGTCGGTGAGTTGGTACAAAATTTCTCTGGGAGGATAAGCGGCACTGACTCATTACAGCGGTAGGCTATCGCGAGTCATTGTAAAGGTCAGATATGCATTCAGTCACTTCAAACGAAGATAGGAATTGAAGCCGAATGCATGACTCACCCCTCAAGTGTCGATTTTTTCCGTGAGCTTTACCTTTTTGAAGAGAACCTCTACCCACTATAGAAGTCACACTTCTGCGCCCACAAGTGACTTCTATGGAGGTCATGCTTCATGTTCATAAAAGAAATGTGCCATGAATATCGCACGTTTTTCCGTAGCTTAGCATCCCTGTAGAAAGAAAGCTTTATTGGTTGATATACGCGATTAATTCATGGAAAATTTTGGTGAGAGGTCGGCCATGATATTGATCTGATGCTGTTTAGACTCTAATCTCCTCGGATAGTTGAGCTCGTTTTCCTTGGAATTTCCAGATTTCCAGAGCCAATCACATTCTGCCTTTGCGGACATATATTTAGCTCTTTCGGGACCGTGGAGACACCTCCCCTGGATGTCTGACCCTCTACGTGTCAACGCTGAACGATCCGCTATACCTCCTGTGCATTTCCAACCGCGAGCACGGGAACGCATTAGACGTATAATCGTATTGTTGTTCTTATCTTCCTACTTATAAGAATAATAGATTTACATACAAGATAACATTGGAAAATAACAACAACAATACAATTTAGATGGTACAATGACATTAAATGCGTTCCCACGCTGTAGGTTAGAAGTGCATAGATGGTGGAGCAGACCGCCCAGCGTTTCCACGCAGGGTTTAGAGATTGAGAGGAGGTGATCTATCGTTGCGAAAGGGTTAGAGTATTCGACTTCAGACAGAGTGGTGTTCTGCTAAACTGTTCAGATCATCTGCACTTACAAATACTCGTGCAACACATCAGGCACAGATTAATACATTTTTTTTACTTGCGGTCTAGAGCCACAGAGGATTTCCGGCGGCCGCCTGTTCCCTTTCAAAAATAAGGTACCATATGGTGTAGGGATACACGTCGGCCATTGCGTTCCTTGGCAGCGTGAATGCCAAGAGATCGCCACGTATTGTATTTGGGCGAGAAACATCTCA